ACCCACTCCTGGCCTTTGTGCAGTAATTTGCTGCACACAACTGTAACACTGGCCCTGGGTGCAAGCTTCCCAAGACCCTCCATTCAAGTGGAGGACTTCCTGTTGCCATTTGGATTGTTTTTAGAGCCCCCTCAGTTCTATATTAACACTCCCATTATAATGAAAACCAGCTCACACAATAGCCTTCAGAAGAAGGCTTATTGAAAATCTTTTTTTGCCAAAAACAAAGATTGTAGTGGTGTAAATTGAGTTCTGGAAGGGTTCTAAATCCCACTGGGAAGTCAGCCAGTAGTTTTGCTAAGTTAGATAGATGGCTCTAGATTCTTGATTTCCAGGATTCATTGTTCCACAGTCACCCAATCTTGTCTGATTAACTGATTTCTACTGCTACATATTCTACCACATATGTCAGCTTGTCTCTGGATGATTAGAAATTGGATATTTGAGTGTGATATATATACCCAGTCAGAATCAAACCCTAATAACCTAGTCCAGCTGCAAAACTACTGGTGTCGGCTCAGGTTTCTATCTGGGCCTTGGTCAGCCAACAAACCAGTGTCTCACAAATGAGCAAAGCCATCAAGATGGTAAAAGCCCTCTTACTTTTTTTAATCGTGTATGATGGTCTTTTCTCCAGTCACTATGCTTTACGGTATGTTTGATTGAGATGGGAAGATGGTACATGTATATGTCAATCAAGATGCATACAGGCAAGTAAAAAAATTGGGGGTAGAAGTAAGAAAAGGACCTCGTGGTCAATTGTCTGGATGGTAACAAATTACTATAAGGAAGGATGGTTCAAAAGAGGACAAAAAAAAAGACTGCTGATAGATAAATCCCGGAAAGATGATATATAATAAGTCAAGGAATTTCGAGAAAAACAAAAAGGAAGGTGGATTAAACACATTGTGAAGACAAGTTGGTTTACAGATTACTACAGATTCTCACGAGGAAGGATCTTACTACATATAAGGAAACAAAAGTCCATCAAGAAGTTATACAAACGAATGGAAAGATTTATGACAAAGGAGAGGGTACGGAAGAGGAGTTCAGAGGAGCCGACAGCGAAGACCGATGGGTCTTAAAGATGCGAGATTTCTGCTTGACGAGTTTGGAAGTGGCGGGCGGAGTAGTGGAAATAGGAGGCGGAGAAGACTTGGATTTCTTGTTATTGTTGCTGTTAGTGATCCAAGCGGGCAAGACTTTCTTGAGATAATGGACGTCGGTTTCGTCGTCAGAGTCGTCTTCGAAGACTGAAGACATCGTATGCGATTGGCATTCTGGACTACGATCAGGACGATTGGGAGGCGATGAGTTGCGATAACTGGACGAAGTGGTCGGGCCTACTTCCAAGTGATTAGAGCCCGATTGTCTGTCTCCTTTTTGGGAACCCAACTTGGACTTGGTCGGCGAGTTGCTTTTAGAGGAGCGCTCTTGCTCTTCTTGTTGATGATCATCGTGGGTCTCACTTTGGGTCGAAGTCTTCTTATTCTTGGGGCTTGCTTGGTTGAATTTCTGAGAACGTTTCTGACTGAGTGTGCTTCTGCTAGTTGATTTAGAGATATGCGCCTTGTAAGGTTGACTGAGGAAAGCGAAAGAATGTTTGCTTGGGGGATTGATCTGTTGAACATCTTTCTTCCCCGAGTCTTCTGCTGCTACTCTTGATAGGATCGGAGTTGGACTCAATGGATCGAGTTCTTGCAGCACAGAGCTTTTCTCAGAAGACGAAGAAGAAGAGGGTGGTTGTTGGTCGTAATTTGCATGAAAGAAGTCGGCAGAGCCCGGGAAAGAGGTACGTTGGGAAGTTGATTCATCGCTGAAGCTTTCTTCCTCTGAGAACTCCAAGGAACTCCTAATCAATGGTTCGTTGGCTTTCTCCGCGGATAAGGTGATCATGCTGAAGTTTTCTAAGCTAAGTAGGGCTTCTGAGTCGAGTTGAAGTGAAGGTAAATGGAATGAGGTAGCAGTGGTCTATTTTATTGAAAAGAGCGAGGAAGTTTTGAAGAAGAGAGTCTATCTAAATCTCGTGCCGCATCTGATCTTTAGCCTTGTCAGAAAACAGGAAGACACTTACCAGAGGGATCTGATCAGTACTCGCTTTACTATGACAGCCAAGTTGGTTTGATGAATTGACGAGATCCAAAGGGCTGCAGTTGATTGGTTCAAGACGGTAGGAAGGCATGATCATCTGAGGTTGCTTTAATGTCTTGATAAAAGAATTGGATAGAAAGTCTGAGAGGGGATCAAGAGGGGCGTTTTCGAAAAGGATGTTCAGAAGAAAGAAGAAAAAAAAAAGAATTACTGACTACTGAGGAAGATCTCGAAAGTGTGTTGACAGGTTGGTGAGAGTCGTATATTGCAATGGAGTATAAAGAAAGAAAAAAAAATGAAATGAAACCAAGAATTTCAAGAAGTTCGAGTATGATGATAAGAAAAAAATTGGGGACTTTGATTGGAGAAGGGAAAATCTTAGCGAGTATCTCTGATGGGACTGATTGGCTGGTATTTAAAGTGCTTGTTCTTGAAGGCTCATGAAGTCCAACTGGACTTGTTATAAAGTGTCTTTTTGACTGGCTGGTTTGATATGAGATTTCGGTTTCCAGTCCAGAAGCCAATGGGACCTGGTTTGTCGGCCAAGCCCTGGATGTCTCTGGCTGGTCGTTTCCAGTTCCCCTCCAAATAAACACATTTTTTCCATTCGTGTGGATTATTGATTTGTTTTCCTTGTAAGGTAGCTGACCATTATTACCGTTCAAGGTTTCTACAGTGTGCCTAATGGACAGACGAATTTTGGTTCTGATCGACATTAAAATCCCTCTTTAAGGGGGAATCTCAGGAGAAATTTGGATGTCAACCTCGACGATCTGAATGATTATGAACTACAGACTTCGTAAGTGGAGGAGGTAGCTGGCCGATGATTCCTACTGCAAGCTCGGACGCGTCTTGCTTGGTGTCCATGAGCCAGCAACTGTCTTGAGAAGAGTGAAGAGGTAGATCCAAATCGCCGATAAGGAAGGATCACAAGCCTAAATAAGGAGAGCTTTCTTCCTTGCCAAGGGAATCGCAATTTCAAAAGACAACATTCCTTAATGTCAGATTTGTTGGGGTCGTTGATGCATCAAAGGTTGGGTATGATGATCTGAACTACATAAGAAGACCGGAACTGAATCGCAATCCATGTTGTGTCTTGACTGAAGCATTCATGGCCAATATTGTGCCTCATTGAAGTTTGTTGGTTAAAATCGGCAAGGTCTTCATCCGAGAGAAAAGCTATCTTCAAACAGAGATAGATGGACGGAAGAAGAACCGGGCCGTCTGGACCCGCATTAAGAATTCAAGATCAAAGCTGAGAAAGTTGATCTTGATCCCTTTCCTTCCCTGCACATCATCAAGCTTATTTGAAAAGTTTGATTCTTGAAGGAAGCGGAACCAAGAGATAAGGAAAGACACACCCATACACTCTGTGGGTAGTCTTAGAGCAACTCCAACGGAGCCGCGACTCGGCGTTCGGGGGCGAACTTTGACTGCCCGAAAGGCAATTTTGCCCTCCAACGGTCCCGCGGAAAGACCCTGGGAACATCCCCGGGGGCACTCCAACCCGCGATCGACCTCTGACTTCTGCGGGTCACCTCCCGGCCGCGATTCCTACATCCACCCACACACAACACCAAGAACCCCACAACGATGGCCGACACTGACCCGAAATCTTCAACAAACACCCCCACCCCAACGCCTAGTTCGCCAAAGAAAAAAAAGAAGAAAAACAATCGAAAAAAAAAATCAACCCCCCCAAAAGAAACAACCACCGATACACCAAAAATCAAACAACCAACCGATATTGCAACCCCCCAACCGGCCGATAAAAGCATCATCGACATCGATCCCACCCCCAAAGCCGCCAATGATCCTGCGCCCAAGAAGGGGAATCCTCGCTGGTCCATAGAGGAGGATAAAAAGCTCTGCGTTGCCTGGTTGAACACGAGTCGTGATGCCATCGTCGGCACTGGACAGAAGGCATCAACGTTTTGGGAGAGGATCCATGCAACGCTCTCCGACCTCATCAGCGAGTACAACGACGAGAAAAAATCAGCGAAGTACTTCAAACCACTTCCTCTACGACCGGTTGGTGCAGTCGAATGCCGATGGGCTCTCATCCTCAAGAGTGTCAATAAGTTCTCCGGGTGCTATTCGAATGCGGAACGTCGTTTGAAAAGTGGGAAGACTCGCGATGATATTGTGAGTAATCTCATCTTCTCCTGTCTGGTTATACAACAAACTAACTAATGACTCAATTTTTCTTTCTTTCAGCTTACCGAGGCCAAGGAGCTATATAAGGCTTCCTTTGGGTCTGCTTTCAGCCTCGATCACTGCTGGGGCATCTTGAAGGACTCCCCAAAATGGCAAGCAACACAGACCGAGAACGAAGCTCGAGGGAAGAAGGCCGACCAATCTAGGACGACTTCCGTGGCCTCCGATGGACCAGCCTCCACCCCTGCCGCTTCAAGCCCTGCGATCATCGATGTGGACGATGACGACTCTGAAATCAGTCGATCGGTCCTTGGGAACGTTCGCGTTGAGGGGCAGAAAGCTGCGAAGAGGAAACGAGCAGACGAGTGCTCTATCGAGAAGATAGTGGGAATGCAAAAGGAACTCGTTCAGATATCGCGTGATCGGTTATCTTCGATGAAAGCGGCGATGCAATCAACTTTGGACAACGCGATCATGTCGCAAGATCTCAGCATGATGGATGACGAAAGTCGAGCGTATTACCTCAAGAAAAAAAGAGCAATTATTGCCCGGGAGGAACAGGAAGAGAAGGAGAAGGAGGAGAAAGAGAAGAAGGAAAAGGAGGAAAAGGAGAAAAAAGCGAGGCAAGAAAAAGAAGAAAAGGAAAGACAAGAGGAGGCAGAAAAAAAAAGAAAGCAGAAGGAAGCAGAAGAGCTGGAATATGAATCCGACGATGGTGAAGATTCCGAAGGGGATGAAGAAACTGAAGAAAATGAATGAATTTTTTGATTTTTTATTGCCCTGTTTTTTAAGAATGCCTCTTTATTATTCCTTCTCAGACTTTTGATTATTGGTTATCATCGAAATGTCCTCTTACATGTTTTTTTTTTTTAAAACAAGTTCAATTTCAAGTTTTTTTTATAAATGCCAATTTCAATTTCAAGTTTTTTTTATAAATAACAACTAAAATTTCAATGGCCCAGACACATGAGAGAAACTTGAGCTAGAGATTGCAAAAGAGAAAAAAATGAAATAATTCCAAAAACAACACAAATCATGAGAAATGAGAGAAACATGAGTGAAAAGGAGAAAAAAAATCAGTGAAAAGAGAAAGATAATAAAGAAACAGCCACCAATAAGATAAAAAAAACTAGGCAGAAATACAACAAATTTATCAGGCATCATTGGCATCATCAGATGAGGAATCATGATCTTCTGAGCCATGTTTGTTCCACAGATGATCGATGAGGTCTTGCTGAAGACGTGCATGTAATGCATGATCCCGTATTGCTTGGTATCGGAGCATGAACTGCTCAAAAGTCGAGTTGGTTGGGCCGTTTGTAGTGATTGTCGCCTGTGTGCGTTGATTTTGATGGTAGTTGAAATCTTCTTCAAAATCGGTTCCTGCTTCGTCTTCAATTGTCATGTTGTGAAGTATGATCACAGCTGACATGATCTCATTAAGGTCTTCATGTTTCCAAAAACGACCTGGGTAGCGTACAATGGCGTAGCAAGCTTGCAGGACCCCAAAAGCACGTTTGACATCTTTTCGGTATGCCTCCTGCATTTTTGCATAATGTTTTTTTTTGCCTTGGGGTTCAGAGATCGACTGGACTAGGGTAGAGTATGGCGGGTATATTCCATCGGTGAGGTAGTAGCCGGCACCGTATTGAGTTCCATTTACTTTGTATGAGACCGTGACACCTTCGCCTTCTTGAAGCTGTTCAAATATGGGTGATCGGTCAAGTATGTTTATGTCGTTTAGTGTGCCAGGAAGTCCAAAGAAGGCATGCCAAATCCATAAGTCGTAGGACGCCACGGCTTCAAGGACGACAGTAGGCTCTTTTTCCTTGCCAGTATATTGCCCATGATCAGCAACTGGGCAATTTTTCCAGCACCAGTGCATGCAGTCAAGAGAACCCATCATACCAGGGAAACCTCGCTTATCGGCCACGGCAAGGAGTCTAGCAGTATCGTTTTCATTCGGTTTTCTCAAGTATTCATCGCGGTAGACTTTATTGATCGCTCGGCAAAACCTCTTCAAACTCTCGATTGCGGTTGATTCACCTGTGAATGAAAGTTCTTCAGAATCTAATTCCTTATCATCATATTGAAAAAATGTAGATTGAAACTCACTAATACGGAGGTACTCATCCACAGAGTCTCCACTACATCCATAAGCGAGCATTCGTATCGCAGCTGTTGCTTTTTGTAGAGCCGAGAATCCCAATCGTCCAGCTGCATCGCGCTTCTGGACAAAGTAACGGTCGGCTTCTTGGATATCTTCGACGATTCGAAGGAATAGACTCCTGCGCATTCGGAATCGGCGGCGGAAAAGATAGTCGGGATAAATGGCATCCTCGGAGAAATAGTCCTCGTAAAGACGTTGGTGTCCTTCAAGTCGATTGCGGTTGATTTCTCTTCGTCCAGGTGTTGACCCCCCGCGTTTCTTCTTTTCTTTGGTCTTCAATATAAGTGAAAGTGTTGTTTGGAGGGACGAAAGGATGTCGTCGTCGTCGTCCATCCATTGGAGGAGATCCTCCATCGCTGTGGAGTGGAATGTTGGCCGATCGTTTTGGGGAGGTGGTTTGTGGTCGATCGTGTTGGGGAGGTTGGTTGGTTGGTCCGAGGGTGGAGGACTGCCAGTCCATTACTGGAACTGACCCGCGACCTCTGTGACATGAGGTCGCGGCCTGCGGAACTCATGCGAGTTGCCCCCCGGACCGCTGGAGTTGCTCTAAAAGTAACCAGGGGAACAAGCTGGTTCGGCCGCTGTGTACCAGACAGTCACCTTGCGGCCGGTTCTGTACGCCTCACATATGCTATACCGGCCGGACACACCTGTCTGATTGATCGATGTGCTCGGATTGCCGGGTCCCGGACCGGGTCAATTGTTGCCGGCACTGATTACTTGGTTTTTACCGGCAGCGCAGCCGAGGACCTCGAGGTGGACCATGAGAAAAGTCCACGGCGCGGCTGAAGAAAGGAGCCACGGAGCGCGCAGTGCACAGCCCAACCGCAGCCAGAGGCAAGCGCCGCAAACTGCAACCAACCACAAACCACCAATGCTACCAGTGGTCCAGTACCAATCCCCAGCAATATTACCACCATTAACGGAAACCAAACTAATTGGAAAGAAAGAAAAAAAAGCAAAATTTCCACACCCACACACCCACTGTGGTGGCCTTCCCAACCGGCGGGCTCTGAACCCCATACTTGGCTGGTTTGGGGAGGAGGGAACTCCTCTCAGGCCAGCCTAGGCAAACCAGAAAAGAAGAGAGATCTTTCTTCAGAAATGTTGGCCAAAAAATTAATGCAATCTTGTGGAGTGGGCCAGTATTCCTGGCAAAGGAAAAGGGCCCTCCCAGAGACTCGCCAGGCAAGACAGGGATTAATGCCCCGCACTGTTTGACTCTAAAGTGGGGAAGGATTTGATTGCAATATTCACAAAAAGGGATTGAGAAACTTGACCTTCACAAATATGTCTTTTGCAACCAACTTCATTTTCTTTCTGAGTGTTTGTTGTTGCCTCATAGTCCAAATTAGTAGTACCCTACACTCAATCCACCACCCTGTCTTGTTTTCAGCTTGCCATTGATGCTATTAATCCATTTCATTTTTTTTATCATGTCTTCCTATTCTGGTCCAAAATGCATTGTTTGTACCAATTTTTCCTGAAAGCCATTTCCTATTTATGCTCCTCTTATCACTATGGTATTGTCTCTCTCAGCAAATCCTGATTACAACAACCAGATCTATAAATCCAGGTCTTGAAACGGTTTGCTAATTTTACAATCTATCTAAATCTTCCCTCTTAAAAGTTCCAAGCTATTTAAATTGCCTCCCACATCCAAATGGGTTTTCATGAACCCCCTACCTGACCTTTCCCTGCTCCATCATTTTGAGTTCCTTATGTATGTATGTATGTGTTGCACTTAATCATTGGTCCTGCAACAACAACCTTGGGAAATTACATGACAATGGTGTTTTAAAGAGATTTACAAGCCAACAATGTCAGTCTATAAATGACATTATACCATCCGACCAACCAAGCAGAGGCCTGTCAAAACTGTGTGATCTGAGCTGTGTAAGTGATGGCTAAATTTAGTGAGTTTCAAAAAAAACTTAATGGTTGGGGGTCCTGGATTGCTTATATTTCAATCAACCTCCTCACTCCCCCCTGATTTTTTTTCCATTACCTATAATATATCCAATCCTGTGTAAATAAGCACTCTGAGATTGAAATTTTTTAATTTTATACCCCAAACCATCTGGTATTGCTACTAGCAATGCCGTATGGCCCAAAATTTTGACACAATGTCCACTGCTTTTATACTATTTCCGAAATTTTGTTCTGCCCACCACCTCAGGGTGCAAGTGGGCCAGGTTTGGGCCAAAAAACCGTGCCCAAACCCGCCCCGCACAATAGGCCGGGTCGGGGCAGGTTGGGTTGGAAGCGATGAAAATCTGTCCAAACATTCCCCAATCTTAATAATGGTGGGTCTGGGTTGGGTCTGGTTTGGTTCATAGCCAGCCCAACGGCTTGGAGTGCTTGCTTTGGATTCTTGGTTTGAAGTTAAATTGCTGGTCCTTTTGTTGGATTTTTGTGATGAAGTGGGGGTTGGCGCGGTAGAAGGAGGGTCTTAAGATACTTTCTTGAGAGTCTTGATGTTTGAATCAGAGTCGGAATCCATTTCCAAATAACAGCTTGAACAGGAGTCAGTTGGTTGACAATTATCTCTGGGCATCTTGCCTGGTAAGTAGGCTGGGAGTCAAGCTAGTGGAGTTTGGAGAGATTCTGATGTAATGTACATCTTTGATGTCCGATTGTTCGACTGGGAGTCTGGCCAGGGTTCCCCCCCCCTTTTGTTGGGTTGGTGGGCCAATGCTGGGCCAGCCCATCAAAGATTCAAGAAGTCCATGCCCGCCCTGGAAACCTCTTGGGTAATTTTGGGCCAGGTTGGTTTCAACCCACAGCCTGTCCAAACACGCCCCAAAAACCGTTTGCATCCTGACAACGCTGCCACAGATACGATACACTGTGTGTATCATGGAGAATTCTGCAAAGCTGCATGGCCAAAAACCAAATTTGTTGAATTTCTATGCAAATAAAAGCAGATTGGTCAGATAGTTTTTTTTTTATTGGGGCTCAGATACATAGTGATACATGGCAGATAAGGGCAGATACCGTATCTGTGGCAGCGTTGATCCTGACCACCACCTCAATTTGTGCTGCATTTTCCCCCATGTCCTATGCCATTTGCTTTGACAACTGTTCCTTAATCTGTCAATTACCATAACCTTAAAGCAGCTCACCTGATTGTCAAACACTCTGAGTCTTACTCTCATCACTTGATTCTTTTTCTCCTGACCAGTCCTCTTAATCTGCCCACAACACCACACAGCTGAAGCATCACTTTTGCCGGTCTCCCCGGCAAGGCCAAAATGCTGCCCTCTTCAACATGATTGACCATCAGACTTGTTCCATTCTTGACTTAAACGCTAAAAACACTACTTGGATGAGTGTTTTTTTTTCCCTCAAAGAGAAAGCTTCCAAGTCTGGCACTGAGTGAGATTCAAAGGTGAGGGGAGGAGTGTCAATTGACTGTTTCCAAACAAGATTCTGTGAAATTGCTTTATATCGCTCACAAGAAACTCTGGCACAGTGTTTATCCTCAGTGTGGTGGGATAGGCACCTATGGGCACCCAATAGCCACCATCTGATAGGCAATAGATACACCACCAGCACTGCAGCCTATAACTGCATTTCACTCAACAGTTCATTTAAATTAGCTGGGTTATACTATTCCTGGTGACCAAAAGGAGACCCTTCCTTTTTTTGTCTCTTGATTACCTTTATGCTGGAACAGTTGACCGTTGACTGGCATCCAAAATCAGAGGGAGACTGTCGTATAAATCTTTGCCTGTTTTTGGAACTGGTCCTTTTCAAGTTTACAGGGTGCTGATATGCCACAAATTCCAATGTCATTCACAAGCCCAGGAGGGAGGAGGCTAGAGTGATCCTCAGAGCAATGGGATAGACATCCACCTATTTGACCATCACATTACGCTTACAGTTGGCTTGTTTGTTCTGTGCTCCCTCAGAATTTTGATGGGGACGTTCAAAGACAAGCAAGTGTTTATAATACCAAAAATCACATTGTTCCATAAAGGTGATGTGGTGGTCGAAGTTTTTTTTTTTCATTCTACAGATATCAGTTCCTGGTAGCATGGGCATTAGTGATGACGATTAATAACAAATGCCAAGGCTATACACTACAAACAATACCGATTTTGCCCCAAGGAAAAATGGCAATTTGGATGGTGGAAAATAGATCAATTTTCTGGCACTTTTTTTACAAGATGCCTCAGGAGTAAAAAATTAGGCTAAAATGAGCTATTTTAGCCAAAAAATAAAAATGTCCCAAATGAGCTAAAAATTCATTTTGGAATGTTTGATGAATTTCTATCTCTGGGCTAAAATAGCTCAGTTTAGCCTAATTTCTACTCCTGAGGAATTTTGGAAAAAATTTCCAGAAAATTGATCCATTTTCCCCCACCCAAATTGCCATTTAATTTTGGGGCAAAATCGGTATTGCTTGTAGTGATAGTACTTGACTTGTGTAGCTTTAATAGTCTTAGAAAATCAGCCACTTGCCCATGCTCAATTATATGTGGGATAGTTATTAAAGATGTGCACAATCTTCTGGTTATATTGCAAGTGGGAAACAATCCAACAGTGACAAACTTTGTGAATAAACCATTTTCTCTGGAAACCTGCAAGGACAAAGCAAGGGATTCAGAAGAACGTTTCATGGAAGAATATCAGATTGTATGTTTCTTTTTTCTAGTACAGTCTCAGATGTATGTTTTTTTTCTTTCTAGAAATTGTTTCATCCAATACTTAGTTTCAGAACAGCCATCAAGACGTATTGTATGTAACTCAACAGACGGCAAAGCCACCACTAGACATTAGTATAAGGTGTGTTACTGTAAAAGAGACAAATCCTTAACTTTACGTCTGCACTTTTGAGCTTGGATAAGATAGCAAATATACATTGTTTTTTTTTGGTTGGTTTGAGAGGAATGCATCATAGAGTTTTCTTTGTATGTATTGCTCACCTCTGCCGATCCCTAATAGACAAGAAAAAAAAAAGAGGAAGAACTGTTTTTTTTGACAATGGCCATCTCCTTCAGTTTGATGCAATAAATGACTGGTTGTTATAAGTTGTTTAATGTTTGTTGTTGGAGTTGAATAATATAGACAATCAACTGTTTATAGTTATTCAGGCCTCCTCCTCCTCCTCCTCCTCTGATGAGGACGTTATACTTACAGCTAAATGAATTTCGAATGATTCTGTCACTGATTTTAGATTGGCCTGGATATTCGATCGGTTTGATGATTGTGATTTTCAGTGGGTCGACTAAACATTTTACATTAGTCAAGATGCTAAGCTATGATGTTGTTTTACCGAGTATTCTTCCACTGTCGATGATTGCTGGTGATGTTTGATGGGAGTGTTTTGATTGATTACATAAGCTGTCAACACAGTGTAGTAGTCTGGGATCCACCATCACAGCAATATTGACAAATTTGACCAGCCCACCCACCAACGGGGGGACGACCGGAGATATAAAAGCAAGCCAACTACTACTACTACTACCACTGCTCGGTCAACAGGGAAACCAACAAACAACAACAACAACCTCAGGACTCAGGAAAACAAAGGCAAGCAAACTACTACTACTAAAGACTACTCCTTACCATCATCAGAACAAAACAAACTAACCAAAATGACCAACCCATCTGAAATCCCACTACCAACAACACCAACAACACCAACAACACCAACAACACCAATCGACGATGAACTCGATCGAACTTATCATGCCATCACCCAACTCATCCAAACCACACTCAACTCACCACCACCCACCACTCCACGACTATCGATCGAATTCCAACCGGACCACCTCCAACTATGTCTAACACCAAACCACGAACAACAACATCACTCAATCATCATCTCAATCGATCATACAACCACATCATCATCACCATCATCACCATCACCATCACCATCATCATCACCATCATCATCATCACCTTCAACCCAACAACATCATCAACATCAACAAAATCAACAACAACAACAACTATGTCTCACTCCTACCTCTCACACCTCATTCGACTTCAAAACAATCCGACCAAACCGAACCATGTCACTCTCATCTCACTATACAACTCAATCCAATCTCACTCATTCTCATCTACGTCATCGATCCAATCGACCACCACTACTCACCATCCAACCCAATCTACACACTCTCACCAACAACCCCAACACCATCTCATCCGCACCCGCAAACTCATCCATCATCATCAACCCAAACAACAACAAAATCACCAAAACTAATAATAATCAATCCAAAACTCAATCCTCATCAACCTCCCACTTCACTCGATCACTACTCCCTTCAAAATCTTCCATCGGACGCACCTCAAAATTCTCACTCGCTACTGTCAACACCAACGGACTCATCCTCGTCCCATCCAACGGATCACGACGAATCGCCGCACCGATCACCAACCTCTCGATGATGCCACTCTACCTCGTCCAACCATTCCTCTCACCCAACCCATCCACCGCTACCACCCTCCCCTCTCAACCTAATACACCCTTCAACCGACTCTCCATTCATCATCATCATCAACCACCACCACTCGCATTTGCCCGTCTATTCCCCGAACGCTCATCCTTCCCCATCTCTCCCATCCTACCCTCACCTCACCACCACAAACACCACCATCGATCCTCTAATCTGATCAACTTTATTCACAAACTGCTACTCTTCTTAACTCATCCACCTCTTCATCTCCTCCGCTCAATCAAAACACCCACGAAAATCACAGGATTCAGAAATACCCAAGGATTCCCATCATCGTTATCAGGAGAGAAAGAGATTGAAGAAAAGAAGAAGAAGAAGAAGAAGAAGAAAGAAGAAGAAGTAGGAATATTATTATTATTATTCAGAAGACTGATGGATACCTTCAACCGACGAAGAGAAGACCGAACCAAGCTCCTAACCCAAGCCGAAAAGACAGTCGTCCTTAGCGACCACTACTGTTGCTTTGCGATCCCACTCTACAATACTGGCATCTACTCCATCCTCGCTCAGTTTACCATCTTCGGCTTCGTCTTCGGCATCCTCTCCTTCTCCGCCCCCTCCATCCTCGCTATCGTCCTCGACTTCAGCTTCACTGCTTTCTTTGGAGTCTTGTGTTTGGCCGTCGGGTCGATCCAGGCGCTTGGGTTCGTCTCTTCTACATATATATATATATATCTCCTAATTACCAACACAAAACTTATTTTTTTTTATTTTATCTTTTGGGGTTAACAGGTTTTATGGAGTGTATAAAGAAAAGCCGATCATCTTCAAGCGATATTTTATGGGCAACGTCGGCCTGATAGGGATCACGTTCCTATACAGCTTGATTCTCCTGATCATCTCCTCCACCAAGCATCAGACGGCCATCGACCAATGCTTGTTGCAGTTCGTCTCCAACGACGAGTTTGTCGACGGCCCGTCGAACTCCTCGAGACAGCTCTGCTCCGTCTGGACTTGGGCCCAGTTGGCCGTCTGTTTCTTCGTCTGGTTCTTGTTCTTCTTTTCGCAGTTATACTTTTGTTACAGTCAGTTCACCTTTTTTTTTTTCTCTTCTTCTCATTCTCACTAACATCATTTTTTTTTTTTTTTTGGCTGGTAGTGGTGAAAGTTTGGGGACAAGATCAACGCCTTGATCATATCCGATACCAATCCCTAATCTCGGCCGTCCGGCAATCGAGAGCGACCTCGTCGATGGTCCAACCGAGCCATCTGGAAGGTGGGGATGAATGGGAGAGTCGCTCGACGGGCGGCTCCCTGGACATCCGCTCCTCGACATATTCCGGACATTCGAATCGACGGGCTAAGGGGGGAGTGGCCAATGGGGGCAGTCGGCTGAAGAACGAGATCGAGTGGAAAGAGATCCCTCACTCTAATAATCAGCCGGTTTCGTCTCCGTCTGCTCATCAACAAGTCTCGTCGGACTCTTCCGAATCCTCGGAATCTGCTCGACGCAAACAACAGTATAGGCAACGCACGCCTCGGCTGGATGATGAGGACGACGATCCGATCGACCCTCATCTGGTCAGATCCCCTCCCCCCGCCTCCTCCGGCTCTTCCACCCTCATCACCCATTCTAATCATCATCGCCGCCAACTCTCTTCTTCCGCCGGACACCCCTCCTTCGTCGATAGAGACCCTCGCGTCGACGGCCATTGGATCGAGGTCATCGATCAGTCTCTTCCGGATCCCGCTCTTGCCTCCCACCCTCAACTTCCTCCAAATCATCAGAAAGCTTCCCTGGATGATCGTGAATATTATAAGTCTTGAGATTCGATTGGGGTTTCTTTCTCTTTTTTTTTGGTCACATGCTTTTCCTGTCAACTACTTACTATTACTTACTACTAACTACTACCCTCTTATGTTGTTGTTGTTGTTGTTATTGTTGCTCTCTTCCTACTCGCCCTCTTTCCGCTCATCATCGGTCTTCCTTTTTTTTGTTATTTATCTTTTCTCCTCCTTTTTTCTTTGCTTATTTAGTTTGATTCTTTTTTTTTATATCTTGGTTTCTTTATCATTGTGGGTCTCCTCTTTCCTCTCTCTTCCTCATGATGATGATGATGATCATCCTACGATACATATCCTATATATCCCACCTCTTCCTCCTTTTCTTTTCTTTGTGTCTACGTCCTCAGTTCTTCCCCCCTCCCCCCTATCGTGTATTCAGTTTTTTTTTACTGAAGTGATGGTCTTCCTTTTGTCGGATGTCAGTAGTGTTTTTCTTTTTTTATCTACTCCCTTTTTTTTTCTTCATCGTTTTTTTTTTTTTTTTTTTTTTTTTTTTTTCCTTTAAAATATATATAAAAACATTTAGGACTCTTCCTATGACCGAGTATGTACATATATAAAGGGGCAGAGTTCCGGCCATTGATCTTGCATGTCTCCTGCGAAGCTGGTTTCTTGGCAAAAAAAAAAAAAAAAGGCGGGTCTCTGGGACAGTCGGGTATAAGATGTGGGCTTTGACCAGCCTGAGAAAAAACAGGCCCAATTAGTCTTCCAGTGGTCAAGCTTATAATGTACAAACCTAAATTGCATCATCTTTTTTACTTGGTTTCAATATTAGCAGGACATAATTAAGGCAGTTCACGTTCCAGCCAAAGCTCTGCTGATGCAGCTTATAAAGGTTTGCTTGCTGATGCACAAACCTGATGAACTTTAAATGTGGGATTTTGAACCCAAAGGGGGACCTCCCACCAAACTATCTTGGTTTCCCATCAACCTTCAAACAGCCATTCCAGCAAAGTTCAACTGCTGATTTCGAAATCAGCAGCACGTGAACCCGCTTATTGAAAACAATCGGAGATTGGTATGTACTAAGAGCATATCCACCGCGGGAGCTAAACCGGGTTGATTTCCCGGGTTCAGCAACCCAAACCTAAAAATCACCACCCACCCGGGGTGCCAAACAAGAAAAAAAATAACCTCCGGAGGTTAAACACCTTGTTAAGTTGCCACATGTAGCAACGCTTGAGCAACGCATTAGCACCTGTGAAATTCCACATCTCCATGAAAGGTCTGGTGTTTCTTTTGTGAACTCCTCTGGATATTTCATCTTCATTCCATATTGTCCCCCCAAATTGCCTACACCATATCCCACCGATCTCGTTCAACTCATAACCCCAAACTTCCGGCTTCCAGAATCATA